AAGAACAACACCTCCACCACCAGCACCAATTATAGCACATACTCACATATTTCACGCCAACAACTTTGTTGTTGAATGACTATATCATCTAGAGTTGCAATTAGCCCAATAATATCAGGAGTACTCAGTTATGGGCCTGACTTCATCATCAACATGAGTTGCATCAACAGCAGCTTCAAGAGCTCTGACAGTAGTATCAGCAATAAAAAGATATGATCTAACATCACCATTGGTAGTACTAACATCAGCGTAAGGATGTTCTTGCTTTGTTTAGTGAACAATTCTCTTCCCTTCAAGAATTCTTCCAGCCACCTCCACCACCACCTGATTAAGGGTCCTCTTACTTTTAGTTGTGTGTTTTTTTTAGTAGTTTTTTTTTTTAATTTTTGTGTTATACTTGTATTTTTCCTTTCTATTTTGTTGATCCTCCATTTTTTGATGTCAAAAGGAGGATTAGTATTTGGTTGTAGCTTATTTTTATTTTATTTAGTTCTATGTTTTTCATATGTTTATGTTCTATTTTGGTTGCTTTTCTATTTTTTATTTTATTAAAAAATATGTGTTCTGTTCCCTTATTTTTAAAATACTTCACTTTGTAAAAGAAAGCTTAGGAGAAAATATAATTAACTTGCAATTTTAATAAAAAATATTTTTCATCATAAAAAAGGGGGAGATTATTGCAAAGCGGGATCTCGAGCTTGTGATTTTGATAATAATAATTACTATTGATTGAATTTTAATTTCTCATAACATTTGTATTGCATATTCGTTTAAGTGTGTACTAATAATTTAGGTACATCATATACCATTTAAGATTATTTTGAGGCACAAAATTGGGTAGAGTAGAATATATTGAAAGAGTGTATACTTTTGATTTCATTAATTTTATATTTCTTGGGCCTAAGCCATATAAAGGTTTGTGCTAATTTAGCGGCTGCATACACACATTGAGGACTGAGAAAATGAATTTTGAAAATTTTGAACTAATCATACCAAACAATCTTGATCATACTATATGATCAGTTATTTATAACATCAGTTAAAATGGTTAATTATGTAATTAATACTTTTAAACAAATCATATTGTATAAATATGATCGTACTATATAATATATTTAATCAAAAAAACCCTAACTGCTAATCAAGTTTAAGTAAGTATTTTTTATTTTTTATTTTGTATTGTTCATACTATATGAATCCCTTCATATTGTGTGATAGCTAAAAACTTACCTAAATTAATTCACGTGATTAGTAAATGGAATTAAGGTTTAAATAATATGACAGATCACATCGAATGCTGTGAATTGTACAGTACAATAGGCATAGACAAAATTTGGTAATCCTGGAGATCATCTTGGAGAAAACCTTAATTTTTGAACTAATCATATAGTACGATGTTAATCGTACAGGATGACTAGCTGAGATAATTTCGAACATCTTGGAGATCATCTTGTATGATTTTAAGATAATTAAACTAATTATACTATAACTATATGATCAATATATAAAACTTGAATAATTCATCTTATGAGTGTTCCTTCGTAGTGAATGAAATATAATTTTTAAATAAATTGTATAGTATAATCCTCGATCATATTGTACGAACAAAGTCGGCATAATTAAAATTTTAGGGTTTTTTTTTTGAAGCATTGTATAAAATATTTCTTATTAGTCTCTTAAGAAATCTTTGATTGTTGAAGAGATTCTGAGAGAGAGTATTGTGAGGGGTCTCAGAGCATTAGATAAGTAGAAGGTGAGGTTGTGGGAGAGTGAGAAAGAGTGTGAGGGGATTCCACATGGTTTCTCCAAGTAGGCTTGAACCTTGATTCCTCCAGTGACTTTGTTGATTTCTTGGGGTTGCTCTTGGGAGAAAGAGTTATAGGTCAAAGATTGTTGGGTTCTCTACCTTCACCAAGTGGGTGAAAAAGGATTGTAAGGTACTCTGCTTTCACTAAGAGTGTGAAAAAGCATCCAAGGTTCTCAGCCTCACTTGGAAGGTGAAAAGTATTATGGTACTTTACTGCACCTGGTTGGTGCAAGCGATTCTTGTAAGAACTTATCCACCTTACTATAAGGGCTATAAGAGAATCGCTAAGAATTTAGTACAATACCCGGAGATGAGGACTCCGAGGAGTGGACGTAGGTCATTGTTTGACCGAACCACTATAAAATATGGGGTGTTCATTTTGTATATTTGTTTACGCTTTTAATTTTTGCACTTTATTTTTCTACAATTTATTTTCTTGTAGATCCATACAGTGAACGTTGTGATTTTTTTGGATTAATTTGATCAAAAAAGAAAAATATAATTTAATGTTCATATTTTAGTTCTCTACTAAATATAAAATTAGTACACTGAATAACTTTCACATTGTTAGATTTTAATTTAAATTTGAAGTTTTGAAATTGGTAATAAGGTTTTCAAGAATTATTTTTTAAAAAGAAACCCAATTCAGCCCTCTCTGGCATGTCTTGGGCAATTCAACAAAGTTTAACACCTTCTCTTGAGCTTTTAATAGTATGTATTACATATCATTTTTGAAGATAAGATACAATTTATTCATTACTTTATATATACATGTATACTACTTATTACTCTTGCATCAACTCAAAAACCTATAATGCATATTAATTTTATCTTAATCTTGTATGTTAAATCTTTTACTAAAATTGTTTGCTCCTTGAACATTTAGCTCACTAGTTGATATATTACATGAAAGGGAAAGCAATCAGTAGGGTTTTATGCAAGGGATTGACCGCACCTTGTACATATATAGTCCTCTTGGGTAAACAATTTAGGTGTAGATAGTAAGCCGATAAGTAAATTGCTAATTAAAGATTTTAGATATGTAAAATTTTATTTAAAGTTTATATAGTAAAGCTTTGTATTTTACTTGATATATGCTTTTGGCATTTAATATAATTTGGCTCTCTTCCATTTCCAAAGTGATATGAGAGTGTACTTCATATGTGCAAATAACCCAGACCCTTAAAATAATGTAGGAAAACATTTTTAGAAATAGCTTATTGCTACATAAGGGTAGTAGTTATATGATGTCATTAACTCAGATGATGAAATTTCACATACTCTACTTACCATAATTACTACTATATAATGTTGATCAAATACTTCATCCTAGAAAATAATATTTGATCTATGTGTCTTTGGATGGAGCTAAAGCCATTCTCGTATCAAAAAGCACCATATATGTATGTACAAAAAAGAAGAACTATTGAACAAAAACATAGTATCTTAATAATCATGTAATTTTAGAATTATAATAGTAACTTTAATATTTAATAAAGTTTTTGGAATTTTTAGTAGTTGGAACCACCACATATTGTGAAGGATAATGAGAACCTTATATGAACTTTGAAGGATTAAGATATCTTATTTGAAACTATGTTCAAACCTTATTCAAAATTAATTTAGATCCTCTATTTCAAAATTGCTAGGTAAACTTTAGGTTAAAAAAAGAGAGAGTTCAAATAAGACTAAAAAAATATTCTGATCTTATATTTCAAGTTTGAACTTTATTTGAATCTCAATGAATCAAAATGTGAACATACATTTCAAAACTATTGGTTGAACTCTAAGTTCACAAAAGACGTTCAAATAAAGATTGGACACCATATTATAGGATCTGAATGATGTTTGAACCTAGTTCAAGTTCTTTTTTCTAATTTCTATTTTGAAGCTAGTGGTTGAACCATAGGTTCAAAATAAAAGTTTGAACTAAGTCTGAAAACTATTCCAAGCTTATATAAGGTTCAAATGTATATTTTGGGGGGTTTGAATCTTAATTGAACGCAAATTTTAATGTTCGATCAAGGTTCGAACCATATTATGTGCTTTTCTCTAATATTAAGTATACAATCATTTTTGAACTCATTTGAAGTTGTTTTTTGAGTAGAAGGTTCAAACCTAATATCTAAAGTTCTTGTCAAAATCTATTAATTGCCAAAATTTGAATGAACAATGAATGCATTCTAATCATAAAAATAATTAAAAATATGAATACTCATATTTCCTAAAGGCATTGAAAAGGATTATTGGGAGAGCTTGCAAAGTTTTTTGAAATATAGGTGATAGAACAAGAAAAATAGCAGTATGATCAAATTAGCTTTAACATTGCTATCCCATTGAAGAAAGAAGTTTGAATAAAGTTTGGACACCTTATTATAAGATTTGAATGATGTTTGTACCTATTTCAAGTTTTTTTTGAACTTTTGTTTTGAAGCTTGTGGTTAAACCATATGTTCAAAACAAAAGTTTAAACTAAGTTCAAATAATATTCCAACCTTACACAAAGTTCAAACACGTATTACATGGTTTGAGCCTTAACTGAACTCAAATTTTAATGTTTGACCAATGTTTAAGTATCTATTATGTGTTTTTTGCCTAATATTAAGCGTACAACCTTTTTTGAACTCATTTGGAAGTTCTTTTTTTGAATCAAAATTTCATAAATATCATCTGAAGGTCTTGTCAAACCTATTGATTGCCAGTGTTGAATGGACAATGAATGCATTATAATCATAATTAATGAAAAAAATGATCATTAAGCTTTCTTATAGGCAGTGGAAAGGATCATGTGAGAGAGCTTGCTAAAACTTTTGAAATATTGGAGAACAACAAGATGAATAGCAATTAAATTAATTGAGCCTTAAAATCAATATTTCTTAGAAGAGAGAGATTTAAGTTGTTCTATTTGAAAGTTTATGTGAAGATGAGACTCTCTTATATTTAATGATATTTTCATCTAAAAATAATTTTGGAACATATTTGATCAATAAAAATTTATGGGGCATATTTGATTAAATATATGGAACAAGTAGTCTATAAAGTTAAATTTCAAATTCTTTTTAATTTGTCTTTAAGTAAAAAACATTATAATTTTTATAATATTTATTTTATTATTTATGTTCATTTTGGACTAAAAATAAATTGAGTAATTTAAAAATGTTTAACACGACAAAATTTTTGACCGTGACATATTGGCCGGCGTTTAATAGGTCCCTCTTCCTGGTCGGCGTTTAATGGTCTCTTCCTGGCCGGTGCTGGTTTCTGGAATCCAAGGAGTTCCTTCTCCTTGCGTCGAAGGCCTGTGAAACGATATGGGTTTCGATTTCCACTCCATTCCTATAATTGGTACAGAACTCCGCAATCTCTTTGCCTTCGATTTGTTTTTATTCTAGCGCTTTCTCGAAACTGTTTGAGTTTGTTGAAGAACCCTGCCAATAATTAACTTTGAGAATTCAGGATTTTAACATCTTCAAATTCGTTTGATTTGTTGATCTAAATGAAGTCTATTTCTTAGTTATAAATAAAAGAAGTCAGAAACAGATGCTATGTTCGGTACAGTAGCTTAGATTTTCTAAGGTTTTGCAATGAAACATACAAGATCAAATGCATTACGGTCAACTCTGCCTATTTTCATAGTTGCTAAAATTGTTAGAAAAAAGTCTATTGGTCAAAAATGGGAATGAATGGTATTGAATTTTGGGAAGTCTTTAATACTGATAGATTTTGCATTAGATGGATAGTTTTGAGCCTGACTCCGAGTTTTGTACACGATCAGCTAAAACAAGAGGCTAACAGGTCAACCTGAGGAATTTTTCCGTGAGAAGACCTGTTAACGCTCAAATAAAATGAATGATATTTAAGGCGAGGAGCTAAACCGAATGCAACATGGTTTCTCCTATGTGATAAAAGAGTAAGAATGATGCTCAAGTCATGAATGATGTTTGAGGTGAGGGTCTTAAACTAATTCAACAGAGTTTCTCCTTTGTGATAAAAAAATGGGCGAGAGATGGAGAGAGCGATATTTATGGGATCTTTGATGAAAGGCAGTCTGATACCTCAACAAAGCGTATGATAGATGAGTAGTGTTGTTTCTGATGAGTATTTGCCTCATCAAGGACGTCTGACAAGTTGATATGAATCTTGATGCAATTGAGTGGTTAAGAAAACTTTGGCGTATAAATTACTCATAATCATGCATAATCGTTATGATAATATGCTTGCTGTTTTGAAAGCCTTGTTGGAGGTATTTGGAAATTAAGTGCACAAGTTCATGTCTCATACATAAGTCATGGTGCTTTTGAAACTTATTATTTTGAAGGAAAATTTGAACCATGGTTTGGAGAATGATTTGAACTTTGATTTAAGATGCCATTTAAATTAACAAATTATTATTAACATTGATGTTATTTGATCCTTCATGAGCTCCCAAATACATTAATTATAAATTGCTACATATTCTTGATATTATGCTAAGATCTAAGTGCCAAATTCTCAAATTTGATAGTTTCGGAAAACAAAAAGTAAAGCATATTTTAACATCCAAACCCTATTAATTCAATAAAGAAAAAATTCTTAAATTAGAAGAGAAAAAATCAAAATGAGTTTGGTTTGGGGATCAGATTAAATAGATGATCAGTTATATCATCTATGTTCACAATTTGGGCATCAGATCGTGAAAAGATCAAAGGGATCAAGATTATTTGAATCCGAATAATTTGATCTTTTGATGGAGACTGTCAAGAGTGGCAATTCCCATTTCACATTGTTGAGATTAAAGATGAAGTCAATGTGAGTTTATAGCTGAAGATAGATTGTCAATTAGATGCCTATAATTAAGAGAAAAAAAAAATCTAAAATGATGGATGCAGATAAGGATAACTAATCAGCATGCTTGGTTGACTTATCCATCAGACTAAATCATGGTAGGGATGAATAATAAAATTTGAAATGTCTGGGATAAGTTTGTATATTAAATTTTAAATGAAAGATAGTATTTCCTTTAATTGCGGTGTTGTTTCCTTCTTTTTTGGGAGTTAGTTTAGGAAGAGCTAAAGATAATTTGAATTGTTTTTATGCTATAATTGCCTTTAAGTAAGCTTGATTCATGCAATAAAAGTCAACTTATTTCCCCAAAATCTTTTATCTATTTACCCATTAGTCTCCTATTTCCATCAAAATCGGCCTAAAAGCTGATGTTCAGTTGTCACTAGAATCTACTACCAGCACCTGTGTTGCTACTTTTTGCAATCTCAAGTTTGGCCAGCTAACTCTACTTCTTTTGTTGAATTTACAAATTGTCTAAGTGCTGCTGAGCCTACAAAGGAAGCAAAAAAGATATCTGTTTGCTGTTCTCAACAATTCAGATATGAAAAACAACAAACTGGGGAAGTAAAAAAAGATGAGTTGATGTCTAATTTGCGGGGTTGTTGGTTGTTTCCAACACAAGGAGTTCGGATTTGCTGTTTACAATAAAATATATAATAGTTTTGTTCTTCGCGCCTATAAAGAGAAGGATAATAGAAATGAAACGCAATCTACGACAAAGTGTATTCAACTTGGGCATTTTATAAAAAAGAGTGTGGTTTAAATTTTAATTAGTTTAAGGAACAGCTTGATCAAAAAATTTAAAAAGGAGCAAATACAAAACTTAATTATCCGGTTTCTAATAGAAACCAGAATTTCATTGCTTGATTTCCACTTTAATCAAGATTTCAAAAGAAACCGGTGAAAGAAATTATGGTTTCTTAAGAAACCAGAATTTCTTAATCCAGTTTCTTAAGAAACTGGATTTTCATGATTCGGTTTCTTCAGAAACCAAATTTAAATTTTATAAATTTTTATAACTTTATATAATAAAGTTATTAGTTGTTATAAATTTATATTAAAAAGTTTTTAAACTTTATATAAAGTTATTAAACTAAATTTAATACTAAATTAATAATTTAATTATTAAATATTTAAGAAAAAAATTAATATATAGTTTATAAAAATTTTAATAAAAAAATTAATATAAAGTTTAAAAAGATTATTAAATATTAATTTTTTTTCTGAAATAATTAATAAATAAAAATAATAATTAATATAATTGGCATTTTATAAAAAGTTATTAAACGTTTTAAACCTTAATATTAATTTTATAAAGCTAAAAAATGTTTTAATTATTATTTATTAATATTAAAAAATTCCTTTTATTAAATTAATTTTTATATATTAAATATTTAAGAAAAATTTAATATTTTAATATAGCTTTTTAAACTTTACATTAAATTTATATTAAAATGTTTATAAACTTTATATTAATTTTTTTCTTAAATATAATAATTAAAAAAATATAATATTAAAATCCTGATTATTAGAAACAGGAAATTTTTTTCCGGTTTCATTATAATATATTAATAACTCTAAATAACCGATTATTAAATTATAATTTTTATAATAAATTATTAGTTTATAACTTTATATAATTTTTAAAAAGTTTTTAATATAAATTTATATCAGCTAATAACTTTATAATATAAAGTTATTATAATTTATAAAATTTAAATTTGGTTTTTTAAGAAATCGGATTTTGACATGAAAATCCAGTTTCTTTTGAAATCCTGATTAAAGTGAAAATCAGACAATGAAATTCCGGTTTCTATTGAAACCGGATAATTAAGTTCCGTATTTGCTCCTTTTTAATTTTTTTGTTAAGCTGTTCCTTAAGATAATTAAAATTTAAGCCACGCTCATTTTTATAAAATGCCCATTCAACTTTAATTCCAGAACAATAGGGATTCAAGAAAAAAATACCTTAACCTGTTTCTTTTTCATCTAGCTTCATATTTTGGACTCACCTGTTTCTTTTTCATCTAGCTTCATATTTTGGACTCACATCATAACAGTAAGAGTTAAGCTTCTAATCAAGCTGTTGTTAAAGCCATCTTCCTTAGTACATGGTGCAAACAAAGTATATAATCTTACACAAAAAGTGGTTCTTTCTTGATGCTCATAGAAAACTATGAAAAAAAAAATGAGATGATGAAATTAAAATAGTTGAAAATGAAAAATCTAGCTGAACAAGTAGCTAGATTGTTTGAGTAAAATTTTCTAATGATAGGTAGATGATGATGCAATCCTCAACCACTTCAGCAAATTATAGTAACCCAAGCTGCATGCTACCTTCTTCTCATATGAATCTTAATAAGAAAATACTTATTAGGAAAAATTTGTTAGCATGGATGGAAATGATGAGGATGAGAATGTGATTGTTTCTAATGAAAATGGGGGAGAGCAAGAACATTCAAGGTGGAAATTCCCAATTATGATGGATGATAAACTCAAAGACATACATTTGGATTGATCAAGTATCAACTAAAGACTTGTTCTACTTTACACGGGCATGAAATTAATAACGAGGTTGCCTTTGCTCGATCAAAACTTAGTCATTGCGCTTTTGCATGTTGGAATGCTCACTAGAATGAGATTAGTTATCTAGAGGTAAACTGGAGATAGTTTAAACTATTGATTCATCATGAATTTTATCCATGGTTTATGTTGATCATCTATGTATTTGAAGTTCCACCATCAATCGCATCCCATTCCAGTGTGGGTTTGCAACATAGTGGGATGTGACATTTCTACTGAATTTATTATTGAGATGATGCTCTTTCCAAGCTCACCATTTTAGCGACCATTAACCAGTTTAAAGGTTTCCAACTAAGGAAAATTTGGGTGTTATCATGAGGGGACATATACTTCAGTATATCATCACCTTGGTTTACTTAGAATATTTCATAGGAAGTAACCATTGGCTTCTGTTAAATCTCAACCTTACGATCCCAAAGATATCCACGTCTGTAAACAGTAATCCGTGGGAAGACTACATGGATTGCATTAATTCCTCCCATTAATTTAGGAATAATTATATTCATGTTATTATAAGAGTTATTTGTTTCCTTATCGATACACCTTGTATAGATCTATAAATAGGGAGTAGATTGCTTAATAAAATTCAAGCTTTTCCTCTCAAACTCTCCGATTTAACATGGTATCAGAGCCAACGGCCTTAATTGCCGTCCGAGAACGATCCTAGATCGTCGAAAGAAAAAGAGAAGAAGAAGAAGCTCGGACTTGATAGTGCCGACCCGAACGGGAGGAGACGGAGTCGAAGCTTCATCGGAACTACCGATCTAAGAGGAAGGCCAAAGTCATCAAGGCTCCCGCTAAGAGTCGAACGTCCGAGCGTATCCGGAGAAGGAGCTTCTGCGGCTGTCTTCTCCCGAGCCGAACGGACGAAGACATAGAAGGCGGACGGCGAGCATCCCGATTCGACAGGGAAGGAAGATCGTCGAAAGGAGCACCCG